ATTTATTCTTAAGAAAAATATTTTTGCGAATGCAATGAACTCGCAAATTTGCTTAAAATTTTTCTACAGCAAAAACTTCCAGATTTACGGTATAAGATGACCTCCGGTCCACCTACTAATGTACAGTATATGGTGACCTCTGGTCTCCATACTACTGTAAAATATGAGGTGACCTCTGGTCCCCCTACTGATGTCCCCTCCTTATGTACAAAATAAGGTAACCTCTGGTCGCCCTAGTGATGCACAATTTAAGGTGACCTCTGGTCACCCTACTAATGTAAAATATAAGGTGACCCCTGGTCCCCCGACTGGTGTACAATATAAGGTGACCTCTGGTCCGCCTAATGATGTCTCCAACTGATGAACAATATAAGGTGACCCCTGGTCCCCCTACTGATGTTCTATACAAGGTGACCTCCAGTCCCCCTACTGATGTACAATATCAGGTCTTCCCTGGTCTCCGTACTGATGTACAATATAAGGTGTCATCTAGTATCCCTACTGATGTACAATATAAGGCGATCTCTGGTACGCCTAATGATGTCTCCAACTGATGTACAGTATAAGGTGACCTTAAGTCTCCCTACTGATGTAAAATATAAGGTGACCCCTGGTCCCCCTACAAATCTACAATACAAGATAACCTCTAGTCCCCTCTACTGATGTACAATATAAGGTGTCAACTGGTCCGCATACTGATGTACAATGTAAAGTGACCTATGGTCCCCCTCGTGATATACAATATAAGTTTACCCCTGGTCCCCTACTTATGTACAGTATAAGGTGACCTCTGGTCAACTGATTTACCCTACTGATGTACAGTATAAGGTGACCAATGGTACTCCTACTGATGAACAATATAACGTGACCCCTGGTCGCCCCACTGGTGTACAACATAAGGTGACCGCCGGTCCCCTTACAGATGTACAATATAAGGTGTCCTCTGGTCCCCCTTCTGATGTACAATAAAATGTGTTCTCTGCTCCCCCTGCTGATGTACAATATAAGGTGACCCTCGGTTCCCCTACTGATGTACAATAAAAGATGTCCTCTTGTCTCCCTAATGATGTACAATATAAGGTGACCTCTGGTCCCCCTACTGATATACAATATAAGGTGACCTCTGGCCCCCCTACTTATCTACAATATAAGGTGACCTCTGGTTCCCCAGATGATGTACAACAGAAGATGACATCTGGTCTCCCTTTTGATGTACAATATAAAGTGACCTCTCGTCTTATTAGCTTTTTGTTACCTCTCGTATCCGCATAAAGATTATGGGAACAAGTGGAAGGCTTATATTGTACATCAATATTGATTTCATACTTCACAAATTGTAGTACATGAATGAGACAAAGGTTATCTTAATTTAAATATAAATCAAAATAATAATAAAATAAAAATATAAAATAAAATAAAATATTTGAATATAATTAATTATTACGATGTGAACGTTGTAAGTAGGCAATAATTTAAAATTATGGTATATGTGTAGAATTATTTTTTAAATCCTCTCCAAAAAAAGTTGCGACCCTATTTTTTTGACGGGGAAAAAGTGCAAAAATTCTCTAAATGTATCTCTGAAAACAGCGGTTTTTGGAAGACTAGTAGACTTGTTTGTCTTCAAATACAGTATATGTATCCCAAAAGTAAATAATAATTGGACCATTTTTTAAAGTTTTATTTTTTAATGTAGTTTTGATTGGTTTACGAATTTGATGTGTTAATTCCGGGGAAATTGGAGGAGAACTCCATGCAGCCCCAAACATCGCAATACAGGGGGTACATCTTCTTTGTAAGATAAATAAAATTAGGGGTTTACTAAAAAGTGTTAAAGTGATTCGGTCGCTTATCGAAGCATATAACCTCATAAGGAAGACAATGAAGACATGAAATAATTTGTTAACAAATATTTTTTACCATTGTCTTAAAGGATTGGTGATCCCTTGCCAAATGAAAAGGTAGGGATGGTAGGGGGCAAGATCTTCATCCTCCTCCTGCTTTTTAGAGATATGTGAATGCAGAGACTGGACGTCGTTTACTCTGAGTCGCTTACTTTTAATAAGGAGATCAGAGGTAAGGCACTGTGTTATATAGAATCTATAACCGTACATGGAACAGTAAAATCATAGAGGAGACCACAGGTCACCCAACATAATCCATAAATGAGAAACTCTTATATATCACATATCATAATATTGCAGTTAATGTTGCTCAGCCTCCCCCCTTTTTCTATTTTAATACCTATCAGATTGTTATTCCTTGGACGAAAATTAATCTTCTGGGTTTTTTTTCCACTGTAAAGGCTTCACTGTACTACGATTTATTCTATTTTCACTTTACGTATCCAACGCACTACATTTTGTAGCGGTGTAAACAGGCCAGATAGTCGTGAACTGAGCATGGGACCTGTGAGGTCCTAGTTGAGAGTACGTTTTATCCTTCTGCACATCACACTGTGTTGCGTCACCCATTATCATATTTTTGATTAAGCACCACTCGGCACACCTCGGCCGATTCCCAGTTCATCTGATAAGGCGACGGAATCGACCAAGGTTTACCGAATGGATAGACCACATGCTGTAGTTTGGTGTGCACTGGATTAATTCAATTTGTGTTATACTTGGATTATATTTCATGAAGCTGACAGGACCTATGACAGTTGGTAAGTACAAGTTCAAGTAAAGATTGGGGTAAAATAAACCGAAATGATTAGGTTAAAGTTCAAAAAGGGTCTAAGGTCATCGCATGCCACGCTAGACAAATTTCATTGTAAAGTTATCTCCCGTTGATGATGTGACATTCAGTTACTGCCAATACTGGTGCAGATCCAGATTATTTTTTTCGGTAGTGGGGAGGGGGGTTCACATCTCAGTCAAAAAATTCAAGCCCAGAATTTCCTGAAAACAGGAGAAAAAAATGAAAACCAATAAACAAAATAAAATCAATGATAGTGTGGTCCTGGGGTCAATGTTTTCTAAGTAAGGGGGAGGATATCAATAGTAATTTTTTATCGGCTTCATTATATAGTCTTATTTAAACAACAAATCAAATTCCAAGGGATGGGATTAGGGGTGGGGATGGGGGTTGTGGGGGTCCTAACCACTGCCTGTCCCTGAAATAACAATCTATCTTGTAACTCCAAAAAAGTAGATTTTAACCTTGCCCATAAGTTTTAAGTAGGTTGGGATATACACATATGGCTTCCATATTTTATAGGTTAATTCCTTGTGATCGCTTGACCTTGGAGTTGTAGACATTTTTACAAGAAAAAAACCAAACTTTAAACTTGGTCTTAATTTGATCAGTAGGTGCTAGGACTTTCATTATTTACATTTGTATTCATTGTGAACTTTCAACAGGTATAAATATAGTTGACCTTGATATCAGAGTTTGAACCACTTTAAAAAAAAATAAAGCTTGGCAATTAACTTTTGAAGAGGAAGTGCTAGGGATTGCTTTTGTCACATTTGTATTCCTTTTGACAAAGATTCTTCTGATATCAACAATTTCAATCCTTTGACCTTGACCTTTGAGTTTGACATATATTTGCGAAACTTCAACCTTCACCATAAGCTTCCATACGATAGGGGAGGGGGGATCATGTGTTCACAAACACATCTTGTCTTCATTATTATTTGGTGGTTTCTCTTTATGAGGGAAAAAACTCCCAAGAGAGATGTTTTCATAACAAACAAACGAATTACTAAAGAAAATATAAAAACATGAATATATTGGATATATCTCTGCATGAAAAAACAGCCTTTCAAATATTGTAACCATTGTAACCCTTTCAAAACACTTATTTGAGCTTTTCTAGTTTCCTTTCATATAACGTCTGTTGTGACGTATATCGATTGTTGTCCATCTGTTTGTCTGATTTATTTTTTACATCTTTAACTTCTATAGAACCACTGTGCCAATTTTACCCAATTCACATAGAAATATGTACATTTGTATGTCAGCCTGTCCATCCGTCTCATTAAATTTAACATTGATCATCCCGGTCATATCTATTGAATGAGAAAAGACGAGGCATTCATGTGGCGATTCACAATCGCACGGAAATCTTCTTTTTATAATTTATTATGACGATTAAAGGCAATAACAAATCCACAAGGGTTAACAATATCAATACCACATTGGCTAAGATAATCGGATGGTTTCTGATATGTATTCAATATTTCTTCAATGTAAAATCAATACAAAATCGATAAACTCAATAGTAATCGATCACAAAAACTCTCATATATATAGTATCGAAGAAACATCTAGAAATAGAAACTTCTATAACATTCTAGGTCATCACATTCTTAAATATTCTAGAGACTTCTTGATAATTAGTTCACGAAACATTTAGAACATTCTAGATTATACCTGTACATCATTCAATTTCTAGAAAACAGTTATAATTGCGACAGTTCGCAACACTCCCAAGGCCAAGGAAAGTTAATAACGAATATAGTTCTTTTGTCACTTCTGATTCATCAGTCCACACTTTTTCCCGAATCTTCTTTGAGAACAACATCCAGTGTCTTGAAATTGTTTCTTTCAAATTTATAGGATGTTTTTTCTCTCCATGGACAAGTAATTCGATATCTGCTATTTTCTGTAATTTGAAAGTTTTTCAAGGTCTTTTCATCATCTGTCGATTGAAAATGGTCTTCAGTTACAGTTATCAGATCCTTTGACGAAAATTTCAGGGGTAGACATTTATCAATTGACGAATCAAGACAATATTCTGTACTACAGTTGTTTCTGTTAACAATTGGTAACTTATGTAGCTTATCTTTGGATGCCTCAGAATTTTCCTGTATTCTTCCAGTGAGAATCCATCCTACCTTTGATGAAAGTAAGTATAATCCTTGGTTAACTTCAATTTTTTCTGATAATATCAAATCGAGGTAATGATCATTTCTAATTAGGATATCGATATTAGAATTTTCTGGAGTTTTTGGCAGGGTATCAGCAAATTGAAAATGTTTATATTGGTGTTGTACTTTTTCAGAGATGTTAAGTGTTAACGGTCTTCGTTGTATGGATCCAGTAATTTGAGGCACAACATTCGCATAAATTCTCATGAAGTGTCCATCCTTTAGTTTAATTCTTAAAGAGACTTTCGGTGTTTTCATTGTCTTGGGCTTCTTAACTCCAAATGTGTTAATGGATATTTCTTCTGTTTCTTTCCTCTGCAAATTTAATCTCGTAAACAATTCTTCGGTAACATATGTCCTCTGAGACCCAGAGTCCATCAGAATTCTAACAGATTCAATTCTCCTACCTTTCAAATCAGATGCATCAGTTCTTGCAGTCTGCATTAGCACCATACTACTTGAGGAGAATAGACTGTTTTCTGGAACATTGTTAACTATTTCTGCATCATATATTTCTGATGTTTGAGGGAAATGTGTGGATTCTCTCGAAAGCGGGATCTTCTTATTGCAGAGGCTTAGGTGATGTTTCTTTGTCTGATGGCAGTGAACGCATGGTTTGTCTTCTTTGCAGTCTTTGCTAAGACGACCTGGCCTAAGACAAATGTAACATCTTCCTCTGATTTTCTGTTTTCTCTCATCAATTGTCCTGAATGCTGTGCATTCATCACCCCAGTGATTTTGTTCACAAAAGATACGAATATGATTTTTTCTTCCATATTTGTTCCTTGTCTGCGATCCTTGAAATAATGTTGTTAGGGCTTCTGCAGATGTATGTGTCCTTTCATTCACATAAGACATTTCAGGTGGAGAAGTGTTTCTAGCAGGTTGTTCTTCATGACCAGCTACGTTTTCTGTATCTGTAGACTCTCTGGCTGCTATGTAGTTATCAAGAAACATTCTCAGCTTTTGCACAGTCCACTTATCTTTCTTTCCTTTCTATATTTCTAATGGTAATCTGGCTTCTTTTGGTAACTTTGTAATAATCATGGAAACAAAGACATCCTGGTTTACATCTTGTTCCAGTGCTTCTAGGCTGCGCATATGCTTTTCTAAATCATCAAATAGTCTACGGAGACTGGAAGTATTATTGAGTGCAGGCTTAATGTTTATAAGGTCCATGTAATGTTTGTTAATTACAGACTGCACATCTCCGAATCGTTCCTTCAATATGGAGAGAGCTACATCATAATTTTCATGAAAGAGCATGAGGCCGGAAATAGCAGATTGTGCCTTTCCTTCCATTTTACTTTTCAAGTAGTTGAACTTTTCAACATTGGAAAGTCTTGTGTTTTTGTCTACTGAAGCTTCAAAGGAGTCCCAGAACTCTTTCCACTTTAATTTGTCTCCGTTGAATGAAGGGAGCTCAAACTTTAGTAGTTTAACTACTGGAGTTTCTTTCTCTTTGCATATCTTCTCTTTTCTGTGCAGTTCCTGAATTGGGAGTTCTTGGAAATGCATCAGTTGTTCCTGCATTTTTGTCTGCAGATCGATCATGTGGTCGATTCGTGGGTCATTTGGTGCTTCAATTTTCATATAAGGTATGTCCGCTTGCTCCAATCTTTTTTCCAATAGTAGAAGTTCTTCTGAGTGCTCTGTAACATCTGTGAGCAATTCAAACAACTTCTCACTGTCTTCTGTAATTTTTTCAATTTCAGACTCATTGTCTTGTTTTGCTTCCAAGGCAATGGAAAGTTCTTTCATTGATTCTTCTAATTTATCACCAAAGTCCTTTAACCGTCTCAAGGAAGATTGAATCTGCCTTATCCTGGTTGTCAAATCCTCTTCTTCAGCTTCTGAACAACAATTCATATTAAACCTATGTATTAGTATTTACCTGTGAGAATGGTATGATTTTTTTTACCTGTGACCTAGAAGTTTGACCTTGCAAAAAAATAATTACATTGTTTTAAATTCATCATTTTGAACATAATGAAAGGGAGAAGTTAAGGCATTCATATTATACTTGAATGTATATCATTACCTGTGATAAGTCTTTCCAAATAGATCATGAATTTTAACTCTATGACCTTGACCTCGAAGCCTTACCCACTTTTCAAAAATGTTGCATTTAATTATATCTTTTGATTGAGGAGATATGACTTTCACATTTGACATGTACATTAATTACTCATTAGAATTCAAGATGTTTCCCAGCATACGATGCCTTTTTACCCCTTGACGCTGATGCTTTACCACATTTTTTAGATATTTAACTCTCCTAAGAGTTGATTAGGCTTCTGTGTAAAATGTAGGAGGAGTTCAGGGAAGACCGAGCCTTTTGCTTGAAAAACATCATTTTCGACCCCCAGGGCAAAATCACAATTCCGAAGCCTTACTGCACATGTACATGACACCAACAACCATCTCCCAAAATATGATTAGGCTACTGTGTAAAATGTAGGGGGAGTTCAGGGAAGAAAAGTGTGACAGACGGAAGGACGGATATGAATAACAACAATATAATCGAATTTTCTTTCTTTACTGTGTAAAATGTAGGATGAGTTCAGTGAAGATGGGGCTTCTTCATAAAAAAACATCATTTTTCGACCCCCATTTGATCTCCCGGGGCAAAATCAAAATTATGAAACAATAATGCACATCTACATGACGTCACCAACCATCTCCCAAAAGATGATTAGGCTACTGTGTAAAATGTAGGAGTTCGGGGAAGACGAGGCTTTTGCGACACTCATTTGACACTCCGTGGCAAAATCAAAATTCCGAAACCTTTCTGCACACCTAAATGACACGACCAACCATCTCAAAATAGATGATTAGGCTTCAGTGTAAAATCTAGAAGAAGTTCAGGGAAGATGGGGTTTTTTGAGTAAAAAAAAAATATAATTTTTCACCCCCATTTGACCCCCCAGTGCAAATCTACATGACACCAACAACAATCTCCCAAAAGATGGTTAGGCTTCTGTGTAAAATGTAGGAGGAGTTCAGGGAAGAAGGGGCTTTTTGCATAAAAGACGTCATTTTTTCACGACCATTTGACCCATCAGGGCAAAATCAAAATTCCGAAACCTTACTGCACATCTACATGACACCACCAACCATCTCCCAAAAGATGATTAGGCTACTGTGTAAAATGTAGGAGGAGTTCAGGGAAGAAAAGTGTGACAGACGGACGGACATACGGAGGACGGATATGAGTAAAAACAATATACTCGAACTTTCTTTAGAAAGTGAGAGTATAATAACAACCCCCTCCAAAAAGCGTCACTAATAAAGTATATTTTACGTTATAAGCTCTTCATAAATCTCTCAATGGTAAGACCAATGACCTCTAGCTTGGCTTTCTGACAGAAAGGTTATAAAACTAAAAAGGAGAATATTCCCGACAAAAATAAATACCGCTGCCGCCCGACGAAGAAATAAGGGAGGTAACTAGAAATTCAGATCCGATGGTGTCTCATTTGCTAATTCTACACCTAGGTCACAGATAAAATAATACAAATCACAGAGCTACAAATTCGAAAATAAAAATAGTGTGCCGCCACACTCAAAATCACACAGACGCTCAGCTACAAAGTATAAGACACTGACTTAATATGCTAATGTGTCATTACAATCTCATGTGACATTTGTCTGCAATGTACCACAGTTTGGGAAGCTACAAGGTGAAGGTAAAAAATCAAAAAGAGAAGAGTTTGAAGCCAAGGAAGATAATCACCGAGCTCTCCGCTGGAGCACATCTGGAATAGCTGGATGTATAGTGTGTTCCCACGACGTCGTCCATGCTTAGCCGATCCCTCGAGGCAGCAACAAGGAAAACAAGCAACATTAGACGTAAACAACAGACGTAAACATTAGACCCAAACTTAAGTCGTCAACATTAGACATCAACATCAGAAATCAACATAAACACTAAATTACATGGCACTTTAATTCTTTACACACAAATCAATTACTGTATCTGCCCTTTTATGAATAATTTTAGAGCAAATACTATATACTAAGCATTATTATATCTTCCTGGGAAAGAACAATGTAATTAGTATATTTCGTTAGAGATGCAGCATCCATTCAACCGGGGTAATATGTGACTACACAGATATATACATGTATTGATGATATTCTGTTACTGTCCACAACCTGATGTTTTAAGCTACAAGGTTGTGTAAATGTCTGATTATAAAAGCTGACTAGCCGCCACAATAAAAAAGCTTAACACAAACATGTTCATTTTCAAAGGGACTGTTCTCTTTTTCTTCACTCTCTTTCTGACAAAATTCTTCGTAACTTACATCAAGAAATATGTTGAAATTTGCCAAAAAGATGAATCAAGAACAAAAATAAACATAATTGCAAATGAAATTGGGATATTTCATGAGTATTTTACAGGAATTTTTGAAACTATTAAAGTTATGTCAAAATTACAAAGTTAACATATTTGTGTTTTGCTGTGAGTGGAGTATTACGCTGGTACTATATGTGCATGGGAGGGGAACCAACCATCCTGTCCCTCGGCGGATGAGGAAATCATGGGAATCGACACGGCAGAGGAAGCAATGGTGTCGTTAATCCTGTCCCTGTACGCCAGATAAAATAAAAAGCCATGCCATCATGACAACATACACAAATCGTGAACAAACACAGCTGATTCACGTAACAAAGGAAAAGTATAGCAATGCCCTAATGGGACAGGCTCAGTAAGGCTGTAAAAGTATTTCTGAGGAAATGGTTCCTCTATCTAACCTGGAGAATAGTTCGAGTTCGAAGCTGTACTTGTTTTTTTTTTTTTGTGGGGGGGGGGGGATGAGAGTTGAGCCTTTTTTTCTCTTTTATTGATAACAAACAATGATATAGATATCACACAGATAAACTACATTGCACATTGACATTTGATGATTATTTTTACATAGAATAAAGGAGATTCAAAGAAATAAATTTAAGTTTACTTAAAAATTTTTATTGTAATCAATAAGTGTCCTCCTTGAATGTGAAAGTCTGAAATACTGTAAAGCTGTGCTTTGTAATGTTAATTTTGTTCCATGTCTTACCGTGGTAAGAGAGGCAGAGATTGACCAATCAAAATCTGACCAATTAAAATCTAACAAATGAAATTCTGACCATGCGGTGCGTTTCTCTGCCTTTTCTCCCATCTACATCCTTGGAGGACGGAAGTTGTTTCAAAGTTTGTTATTTAGTTTGTTATTTATTTTATCAAGATTTTGGTGAGTAAATTTATTTCATTATGTCTTCTATGAGTAAAACTTCAGTTGTCATTCTTGGACACTCAATTGTGCGTCGTTTTCATGAATTCTTGAAATATGGTGACATTAGGTATTCTGCGAGCCTTGGTCTGGGAGAAACGCATTCCGTTCTGTAGAGTGGTGTGGGTGGAAGAAAGGTTCGTGATGTAATATCTAAGGATATGGAGAGCGTATTTGCTTTAGGTCCAGATGTAGTTGTTCTAATGATTGGGGAGAACGATATTAGTCCTAGTACCGACGCTACCTTGTTAGCTGCAGAAATTGAATCTGTGGTATCGGTAATGCATCGCCGCTATAAAGTTGCAAAAATAATTGTTTGTGAATTATTGCCACGATTTGGTGTTCGTTTTGGGTACAATAATATTGCAGACAAAGTAAACGCAATATTGAGAGATGCGTTGCCAGCACTGGGTTACTGCGTAATTTGGGAACATGGGAATTATTTCGTTTCTCCCCGTGAAGGAGACTGCAGTCGTAAATTTGTTCACGACGGAGTTCATCTGAACAGTCAGGGGAATGTTCATTTATATAGGAGTATAAGGGAAGCTTTAATTTCAGCGAGAAAATAGATATACATCTAAGTTATAAAAGTTTATCACCATTTTGTTACTTTTATTGTTCGTCAATTTTTCAGATAGATATTCTTTGAAATTATACAACATTTTGTTATTTTAACATTACGATAGGCATTTAGGATGTCTAATAATGTAAAACGGATTTATCCTTTTTCTGTGAAGAAAATTCGGTTGGAAAAAAGTATCAGCAAATTTGATTGTTTCGTTGTTGGTTTAATTTTTTACAGTACTTTAGGCAGATACTAAGTACAAGTTTCAGGCAGTTTTTGGTACCTGCCAAGTTTCAACCCATTTGGGTTTTTTCATTTTGGTTTCGGCTTTTACCATGCAGATGGCGATTTTTTCCATCGTTTTTCTATTTGATATCAAGGAATGTATTTTAAAGCATTCCAGATTTATCCTTTTTCTGTGAAGTAAATTCGTTGGAAGAATGTCTGCCAATTAGTTTGTTTCGGTATTAGTCGATTACTAAAATATTGTGAAATTTTACAGTACTTTAGGCAAGTCCTAAGTACAAGTTTCAGGCAGTCTTTTGTACTTGCCAAGTATAAACCCGTTCGGGTTTTTTCATTTTAGTTTCAGCTTTTACCATGCATATGGCGATTTTTTCCATCGGTTTTTATTTGATGTCTATAAATGTATTTCAATGCATTCCAGATCGACTTATCCTTTTTCTGTGAAGGAAAATCGTTGGAAATTGTCTGCCAATTCGTTTGTTTCAGTATAAGATGATTACTAAAATATTGTGAAATTCTACAGTACTTTAGGCAAGTCCTAAGTACAAGTTTCAGGCAGTCATTTGTACTTGCCAAGTTTGTACCCATGCGGGTCTTTTCATTTTAGTTTCAACTTTTACCCCGGCTATTTATTTTCCATCGCTTGTTTATTTGATAAGTTTGATGTTGGTCTTAAGACTGATTTTCTTGTGTTACAATAAAAATTAAATATTAATCAAAATATACTGAAAAAAACTCAGTAAGAATTTTATTTAGGGAGAAAAGGCACCGGATTGGGG